TTCCTGCTGTTTATTCAGTCCACAATCCCACAATCCAAGATTTTCTATAGTATCTCAATGCCTCCATTCCTGTTTTGGCGCAGCTTCCTTCCTTATTTTATCAGGTCATTGAATAAAATGTGAATTGAACTTTTCAAATGAATAATTAGATTTAATGGGAAGATTTTTTATTTTAGAATTCATGAAAGATAAATTGAGGCTTGTAATTAAATAGATCTTAACAAGTTCTGAGTTTCTTATTTTGGTTCACTTTTAGGCTATAATGCAAACATCAAGGCATGAAAATTTTATTAGTCGGCGAGTATTTTAATAAAATTTCACTTTTTCTCTATGGTTGTGGGTGTGCTTGCTAAACGTATATTCTTTGAGTACTTCATAGCAGTGAATGACTCCTTTTCAAGATTAGTCTCCTTGTATGTAACATTATGAAGTTAGACTCTCTCTTTGGGTGACTAATAACCTTGTACGATTTTTAGTTTGTTTAGTCAATGGTTTTATATCTGTGATTTAAATATTGTCATATAACCAGTTTTCCCTCGAACTGTAAACTTGATTTTTGCTGAAATTTAATACTGTTCTTTTGCAGTTCAGATCTTTAATGATTGTTAATTATCTGTTGGGGCAAACAAAGCAAATTTCCAGTCCTTAGATTAAAATCGACATTTCGTTATAAAATATGATTTGGGAACATGCAGATGATTTTTTCCATCCCATCATAGGTTGCACTACAAATCTTAAAACATTTACCGTCCAACATCAAATCAGTATTAAAGTAGATAGGAAGACCATAATGCCAACTAAAGTAGGAAATAATTCTTGGATCAATATAAACAATCAATAAAAAATGTGTTATAAACAAAAATTGAGTTATGGTACTAAAAAATACAATGTAGCTATTGGAATGATCAAAACTACATAACTACATTCTACGGCAACAAAAACCAAAAGATATTCATAAAATGGATTGATAATTTAGAATATTTATTTTAAAGATATCATTAATTAATTCAAACTGAGTTAAGATTATCGAAATGCAATTAGTTGGATGAATTCAAACTTATGTGCATAGTGTTGAAGGCAAAATACAATCAACATTGGCTTATATAAAACATAGGCTTAAAAAATAGTACGTCATAGACAAACATTGGAATCAATTATATAATATGTTTATGGTAAATTTAGCCTGCCTACATTTTTTGATCGGTTTAGAAATCTTATAGTAAAAGTCTTAAGCAAAACATTAGTCATCTTAAACCATAATGAAGAGATATAGAAATGGTTATCATAAAATGTGTGTGTGTGCGTGTGTGTGTAACACGTTTAAAGCATTTTAAAATTAATAGACTCATACTTAACACATAACATGAGAAATAATTTAGCAATCATGCTTATCCGAATAATTTCACCAAGACCAAAAGAAATTCTTCCTCAAAAAGATGAAAGGTGGCTATCATATTGATGGAGGAAGGTTGAAGCTCACTCCAATGTTAAATTTGTTGAATCTATTGAAGACAAGAAGTACTTACAAATATTGTGTTCTTGTGGAAGGAAATCATGTTACGTGTATAAGTAGAAAAGTATATTATTCCTAATAAAGCTAATCATGAAGTTGAATCTAGAGAAACGGCGCATTGCACTTATCAAAAGATGTGGATTAAAAGTCATTTTAAAGAATTGGGATTACCTGTTACTCAATCTATGAAACTTAAGTGTAACAATCAAACTATAATCAATATTACCAGCAATTCTATTTTTCATGAAAGAAAAAACTTATTGAAGTAAATTGTTATATCATCAGAAATAATATTTTAGGAAAGAAGATCATCACTCCTCATGTCTCTAGTAAACAATTATAAAGACATTTTTACAAAGGTTATGGGACCACTTTTATCATTTAATCGTTATAAGAAGTTGGATCTTCATAATATATGGGTTCCAGCTTGTGGGGGAGTCAACATACCATACAGAAAAATCAATAATGAGGATATTCTATAATTAATTCTATGATTATCATGAAATATGTTCTCTTATTTGAAAAAATACCTAATATTATTTCTTCATCTATTTGTCGTTGGTATTTGTCTTATATAAAAGCACCAACGCTATTCATAATAAGCACAAGAAATTATTTCCCTAAATAATCACAACATGCATGCTTGAACAAAATGAATGGCTATTATGAAAGTTTACTAATAATTCATTTACACATTGACAATATACTGTATGAATCTTGGTATCGCTCATGTATTTAACCTTGAAATTTGTTCAAGCTCAAATTGAGCTCCCCTTCAAGTTTATCTCACAATTGTTGTATATCTCTAGCTGGAGGGCATAGGTTAATGATGCGAGTCAATAAAAAGGTTCAAACCGGATTAAGCTAAATGGTATCCCGAAAGGTTGAACGAGCTATCATTCGAGCAGCTATGATGTAACACCTTTAAGTGGATGAACTGCCCTACCCGTGTACCTTCTTCTAAGTTAGGTTTTCATATTTCTTACATCAATTTTTATTTGGTTAGATGTGTCAACTAGATTTTACCCGTACTATAAATACTTGCACAAAGCCTATAATACTTCCTAAATATTCCCTTCAAGATTGAATGTACTAGTCAAGAGGCTCTAATTGAATGGTCAAAATGAATTGAACAAATTAAACAAGCCAAATTTTAGTGTTCAAGTCCAAATGGCCTAAATTGATAAATTTATCACACTGTCAAAAACCCAACTCTAACCAAACAAATTTTTGCATTGTGTGAGGGGCTAGGTCAATCGAGAAGTGCTAACAAAGGGAAAACATGGGAAGCTCTAAAGCATATCATAAATCATGCCTAACATGAATACTATAAATCAAAATAAACCTTTTGACTTAAGATATAGATAGAGTAACAGGGCCAAGTAATGGGTTAAGTAGGGAGCAATCTCCAAATTTAGAGCAATGTTACTATGCAAAGAGTTGACCAATTGTCCATGTGATAAACAAATGTGCTTAGATTTATCATAGATGACTACCTCCAACCGACAATACAAATGATGACCGCTCTATGAAAACTATTGTGATGTCTATAGAATTAAGACCGGAACATACGGCGCTAGCATTTACCATGTTCGAACTCATAGTGGGAGATCACAAAACCAAGTCTATGACACAAATCCAAAGAACAATGAAGTTACAACCAAAGTATTTCATTGGGAAGGCAAACACCTTAGAGGTGGAGAATTGGTTTGTGCGAATTATGAAAATGTACTTAGGCAGGGACAACCCTGCCTAATGAAAGGCAATTACCTGATTGAAGATAACCATAATGGCCTTCCTTACACTAATGGTTCTAATACTAGTGGATGGCATGGATAAGCATTAGTACAAAGGACCTATAGTACAAGGAAATCTTATGGAGGACGTCAAGAAAACATTTCGATC